CCGCGTGCTACGAGCGCGCGAGCGCATAGTCACGTGCGGTGAGCACGCGAGCGCATAGTCACGTGCGGTGGTCGCGCGCGCAACCGCGTGGTAAACAAACCCGAGTCCGGCGATGGGCCCACAACAAGAGTGAAATTCAATCGCTTCTATCTCTGTAAGGAATGATTGTATCGAAAAACGGTAAAGGACTTTTTGATTCCTCATTCAACAAGCAATTTATCTTGATAGGTCTCACATTTTTGTTATTACTTTACGTAGTACAATTAAGGGAAAATTCGTTATTTTGCTACGTTAAATTACCAAACTTCGAATTCTTTAAGCTGATCTTTATTATAATGAATCTATATACATAAACTAAGTTTTAATGTGATCGTCATTAGAATTTGGTTATATAAAATTCAACAGCTAACAAATTTTGACTATTGTTGGTCTTTGAACATATTACAAGTGTACAAACTTGACAATTATCAGGTGTAGAAATTAACTTTGTGTCTTTACAGATATCTATTTATAACTCTAGTTTAAATAGAAATATTCGCTGACCATTTCAGCACGTTAGAGTCACACCCTCATAGTAATGAAACGTTATAAAAGAATGTGGAGTTGTATGATTCTTTTTTATAAATAAATCGATTAGCTTGATCACAATACAATATTATTTAATACCTTTTTGGCCTAACAGACACAAATTTCTCAAAACCTTTTCGTATCGATCGAACCGACAACGACTAGATCTTTCGAAGCTTCCGAATGTAATGTTACGCATCTCCATTTCACCACATTTTTTCCCTTCCGAAAGTCGTGAAAAGTTTATCGTCTTCCAAAAGAGGTTGAGGGATGCTTTCAGAATTCCTCGGGGACCCATTGCTCGTGTTTCCAACGACGGTAAAAAATTGCATATACCGTAGTCTGAAATATCACCGTAAAATTGATCGTGTCATAAATATTTATAGCCGCTGCGATGGAAAAGAATTATAATGTAATGGCCTGTTTATTGCTAAGTAAAACTGAATTATCGGTCTCAGCGTTTCAAATAGCTTTCACCTTTTCTTTAAAACTCTTTTAAATGTTACGACTCCTATTTATGGTATATATCGAATTTATGAATTTAAAGCCTTTTCCTTACATTTATAGGTACTCAACAAAAGCGAATAATAGAAATTTATTAAAAATTTACAGACTTCGCGGAGAGATGAAAATGGAGAGATGGAGAGATTGAAAATCAAGTGACAGGATATCTCATGACTAACTGAAAATTTCTATACGACAAATGCACAGAAACCACACCCGCCACTTTACACTTGACACGTTTGCACTTTCCACTTTTCCACTTTTCACTTTTTATATATAAAGATATTATTATCAGTTCGCAGCCATTAGCTCTCGATATTATTCGCGACGAAGGATTGTTCATCACGAATAATACCGATTACCAGGTCTCACCACGTGGAGGTTGCTGCGACTGGAGACCCGGAGATAGAAGGAATCAAACTTCCTTCGATCTCCCTCTATATAGAGTATACATACGTAGATGTATACTCTACATAGAGTCGACGAGCTTAATACTAAGTACGAAACGATGAAAATCAAAGGAAAACAAAGTTTCCTTCGATTTCCAAACTCCAAGTCTGACTCTGCCAAATAATTATTTGAACTAAATGGAAGCTAAATGGAAATCGCGACACGACGCGACCATGTAACTGGACTTACAGAGTCAGTCCCGTTTCCTCTGGTGGGTCTAATTCGTGAGAAAGACGATCAACATCTCCGCCAGTACTCTACTCCCTGCATACTTGCTGCCGAGGGCCCAGATCCCAACCTGACAGTGTACGACGTAGGTAGCACCGCGTCGGGGTGTCTGCCCTGGCGACACCAGCTATGTCTGACGGACGTAGAGCCCCGAAACGGAGTTCTACTCTCTGCACAACGTCAAGAGTCCAGGACACGACTTGCATCCGTCTGACGGCTCTTTCAAGCTGTGCTGCGTCGGGAGTCTGGACTTCGCCTGACGCGTACAGAGAGTAGAAGATTCCTCGGAGGCGTCGATTGACCCTCTTTCAAATCAGACCCACTAGAGGACGGCAACCGACTTCGGCCAGTCACATGGTTGACCATTACACTTATCACATCAACTAATAGTGATCGAAGTGAAGCACGAAATCGCGAGTCCAATATGGACCTACGAACAAACAAAAGAATTGAATAAATGATTAATTATTACTTGACAGAGGCAAACACTCGTACATCCATGCCTTAAAACTAACTTAGGTACATGACTTAAAACTAACTAGACTAAACTAAAGCACACACAAGCAATACCAAGCAAACTAAACTACCCACAACCAATAGACGCGGACGCGCGATTGCGAGATCCGTATCGACCGAAGGATCGTCGAAGAATGAGCTCTCGCCCCTCGTATACCTGGGTCGAGGGTCGCGACTTCTTCGAGCCTGTCGAAGTAGAGAAGGGGAAGGGCGAACAATAACCGCGTGACGCTCAATTCGAAGGCTCGTTGAATCCATCGAGAAAATAATTCGTGAAATATTAATATCACAGCAAAATCATATTCTCTTCATTATTTAAATAATAAGTATTGTTAATAATTAATGTAACTATTGTCAACAAATAATATATAGTTGGTCCAATCAATCGATATTAAAATATACACAAATTTCTCACGATTAATTTCTCTCGAATGAATATTTATTCTGAACCGCAATTGTTATCAATGTGTAATCCAACACTGAATGATACTGTATGTACTGTTTGAGAGAAACCGCGCATGTAAATTCGAGTTTGTTCGCATGTACTTAAAACTGCACGTATATAATATATAATATATCCAGATGTAGCTGGTATAGGAGTGGAACGTCTGGGTGAATCGTGGAACTTATTTCTGTGCATGAATACGAATTGCAGCAATAACCATGAAGGGATCTTTTATTTAACATATTTAATCGTAGCAATTTGCTGGTGGAAATTCGTATTCTATTTAATCTGATCATTCTTCTTTTCTACTCATTCTAAAATATTTATTTTTGGTCTCATTGAATTAAAAGACAGAAGTTCTGTTGATTCGATTAAAAATTGTTTTCATTTCGTATAACGTTGAATAGATTTATTTATTTGGCTGGACAAATTATAAATGACAAAAGAGCTGATCTATCGGTAATTTTTATTTTCAGAAATATTGAAGAATTAAGTACGAATAAACGGTGTTTAATTCATAAGGAGTTGATCGATTGTTGAGATTTGTCGATGCGGGAAATTCACACCTTTTGTTCGATTTCTTCGTTTCGTTTTACCTCGTTACCTTCGCTTTCTCACGTCCGGTAATTAAATCCTCGCAAGAACGCAATATGCAGCTTATTCGAAGGTACGCCCTCGGTGGAAATTCAAATGGATGAATACGGCGTTTCAACGTGCGCGTAGACCGTAGCTAACAATACTCGTGTTGTGAAGGAGCATTTTCACGCGTTTGTGCTTGTTCGCGTGCCAAGCACTCAAATTCCATTCAGTCGTTCGTTCGTTCGTCTTGAATTTTATTAGCAGCGATCTTTCAGCGAAATTCCAGAATTATTACAGAATTATAGAAGTTTCACGAAAACAATTTACTCGCTAGGTACATTATATACTTAAACGTCCAATTTATTTATTTTTCTTAGTTGGAGGGGCAGATCAATATGAAGCTAACCGCAAGGCCAAAGTCTTGTTTTTAGGCAAGTGATCAATGTTCTTAAGCAAGAACGTTAAAAAATACGTTAGTTTTCCATTATTTGTTTCAAACACCTTCATATAAATAATTAAATGAAGATCGATATTTGCATTAAACTATTATTACTTGTGTGAAGATGTTCTTGGAGTCGACTGCCTGTATATAGCCAAATTGCTCGAAGTGCAAAGGGTTAATGTACAACTTCCTACAGGCAGTTATCTTAAAAACATTGATCGTGCAGATACTTCTTCGATCGCTTTGTAAGTCTCGAGAGCGCCAAGCGTTTCGTGTGCGCGTGTTTGGCGCGGAACGATTGGCGGATGAGGTGGGGGAAACGAGATAAAAACATTTCTTCTGATCCCTAAACGGTGCGCGGCGTGCAAGCGCCAAGCCACCCCTATTCGGGGCTGCGGTGGGTGGCGGAACTACAGGGTGGCCAAGAGCCACAGTTGGTTGCGGGCTGTCGTCATGAGCACATTGCGCGTCTTCGACCTCCACGGCGCGACCTCGTGTCCCCGAGAGATCGCATGATCGTACAGGTGCGCGTTGGAATCGCCTTTCCGCGGAAACGGTCCTCTCGAGTTCCTTGTGCTTCCGTCGAGTGAGTGCGAGAACCTTTCGCCGCGGTGAACGTCTCGCGAACACGCCACCAACACTCACCCCTGAACTTCCTTTTCTCCTCCTCTAACCTCGCCCCCTGCTATCCCGTTGAGAAAATCTAGCGCGTTTACTTCGCTTGTCTGCGATAAACTACACATCGACGACAATCCTGCCACTCGCGTCGCGTTCCGGCACGCTGAACCTTGGAAAAAGATTTTTCGAATCGACGAAATATAATTTACATCTTTAACACAGTTTTTCTAATACATCTGGTGTATTTACTTGGTTTGGCTGTGAAAAACTTCTCGTCGACAGAGAAAGTCGACCATTTTGTTCAAGTTCGGTACCTGCTCCTCGAGATATTCGAACTCGAGTAACGAGCTTGTTGACAGTCTCGAGTTTCCATTTGTCCCGGTCATATAGAGATACAGAACTCTATTAAGCCTAAACTAAACCTAAACTACTCGGGAAATATGGAGGGGTCGAAGAGGTTGGCTGTGCCAACGGCACCGTCGCTTCTGTCGAAGATCGAGAGATCTCGAATAGCCGAAAATTGATTTCGCGAGCCTCGACGGGATTCACCGTGACGCAAAGTTGTGGCGCTGGTACGTGGCGGGAGGACGAAGGCGGGACGAGAGGACGGGGAAAAATGCCGGCGACGAAATTGAATCGGGACTGATCTCCATATTTAGACGTCTGCAACGAAATAGGAGGATCTTAAATGTCAGCGGAAGCGGCGCCTCCCCGCGGGAAGTTTCAATTAAAATTTTATTGTGCCCGAGGTGCACGGGCGAATTCGGTCCTAGCGGAGAGGAGCTAGTCCATAAAACGAGGCTTTATCCGCGAACGGACTGTAATCCCGTCGTTAAACACGACGAGCGCGACGAGGATAATTGAGATAAGGGAGTGTAGTTCATCTCGTCGAATCCAGTTCACGAGACGACGATGCCTCGATCAGGTGTCACCAGACTCGACGAAACGTAAGAGCGTTTTCTGTCAGGAGCAGTCCGACTGGAAGCTGCATGTCGGACCTTCTCGTGGAATCTAGTACGACCTTCTAGTTTCAGCTTCTAGTTCGATCTTCTAGTTCGATCTCGACTGTCAGGTCCTGGCGAAACAGTGCAACGACGTCGAGACGTTTGGAGCGATATAGGCCAGGCGGGATTATGTGGGACATTGTCGAAACGGAATGGCGGATCGCGTTTAAAATATTTATGAGACACACGAGCCGCGAAAGGTCAGAGGACATCCGATCGTAAAAGGTCGGTTTCGGCTACCGACGAGTCACGTTCCCATCGCGGCGACCGCGAGCCTCGTCGGAAAAGAACACGGAGTTTCTGGGCCTTTTCCGTCCGCGCTCGCGTCGAACGTGAAACTGGGACGCTCTATCGGCGAATGAAAAAAGTTGTGCTTCGGTGCTCGCGAGCAAAGTTCCAGCGGACGCTGGGAGGTGCTGTCTCGAGAGCCAACTTTTCTCGCGGCTCGATAGACTGTTCGAGGATCGGACCCCCTCTGATAAACCGTCGCGCGTCCTTTCGAAACGTTTGTGATTCTCTGTGATCTTCGTTCGTCGTTAATATTTCGAGGCTGTCTTACACGGCACACCGGAAAGTATCGTTTAATTGCGTAACGCGAGGAAAAGAGTTGGTGGCATCGAGATCGAACGCACGAGGACCCAATGTCGCGTCGCGACGAAAGAATTCAGGACCTTCCGAGAATGTCGATCTCGTCGCTTGCGCTGATGTGGAGAACCGAGAGGTGTAATCCGTTTAAAAAGATCTCCAGGTGAGTCTCGAGGCAGTGATAACTATGACAGGAGCCTCGCGAATCGACGAGACGTGCGCTGAATTTCTTTCCAACTCGTTTAACGATCTTCGGTGAAATTCTATCGTAACATCTCGTAATTCAAACTTTTATGGAGAATCAAGAAGCAAACGAGACGTGTTTCTTGTCCTGAAGAATCATCGTTGGAATTCTATCGTAATACGAGAAACTTCTATCGAAAACCAGGAGGCGTAATCCGTTCAAAAGGGTCTCAAAATGCCAAGGAGTCTGGCGAAGCAACCTCGAAGGAATCATCCAAAGGTTTTTAAACCGATCTAGGCACCGAAACCTCGTTAAGCGGAAATCTGTGAAAGCATAATCACCGAGCGAGCTGTATTCATCGTGGTTCACCTACCCTCCCCTGTTTTTTTTTTTTTACATCGGTTCTCCATCAAATTTCCGAACGTGGTCGCTATACCCAGGCCGCCAACTAGGTGATCGTTTAACGCTGCGAGGGCGAATTGTCTGCGGACGCGGAAAACTCGGTTACGGGAACTAATCGCCGCCGTGGGATTGAATCAAACCGCGAACGAGAGGACGATACCGCGGTTTCTGTGGAAAAACACCCTCTGGAGACGGGGAGACGTCGAGTAAAGCTGTTCGAGGGAAGAAACGAGAGAGCGGAGGAGGGTTGTTTCGTCGAACGAACTCGGATAAGATTGAGTTCCGAGGGGACTCTCGAGGAACGTCCTGAAGGAACAACAGAGGATCGTTATCGAGCGAATTTGAATGTGGAAGTCTGGATTTAGTTCGAACGAGAATGTAATCGTCCGCGGTTGATGGGAGGGATGAAACGATCTTAGATCGGCAAAGCCGAGCTCAGCGTCTCTCCTCTGTCACAAAGTGATTTCAACGAGGGGGCCAGGCTCGTCATTGTGTCCCAAATCGACGAATGAAGCGGTCCGCGAGTTCTAGGGTCGCGTCGAAAATTTTAAACACGACGAAGTGCATTGTGTAGTGGGTTGCAGATTCGAGACGACCATGGACAGAAGAGAGGCTCGTCTTGCCGTTCGACAGGTGAACGGTCGGTGGTCGTGCACGGTCGGCAAGACGGCTTCGGGATGCTGCACGCTGTTATGCTAGGTAGCGGTCCGGGCCGAGGGAGACACGAATGGTATCCAGGATTTTATTTGCAACGTCGACGACTTGGATGCAGGATGAACCGCGGGGAACAGGAGACCCTATTCCGGCAGAGCCGGCAGCTCACGAGGATCGTACATTCCCACGAGGACCTCGTGCTGAGCGTCCTCAAATCGCCGATCAGTCAGCACCAGCACCAACAGCAACGTCAGCAGTACCATCACAGCCATCACTGTCACGAGCATCATGTTAACTGCCAAGGTCATCAGAATCATAAGAAGTGCACGCATTCAGGTACACTCGGATATTAACTGCGCCTCGACACGAACGGATCGCGAGGATTTCGAGCTGGTCTTTCGGATACTTTCGACGGGGGAGGGGGATTCGTATTTGTTTCGTTTCATCGGTGGTTCCGTACTGCGAGATTTTACTCGTCGAGGATTTTACTCGTTTGGAAGGGTTCCAATTGGTTTGATAATTAGAAGGAGTATTTTTAGGTCTGGTTTTCAATTGGTTCGATGATTAAAATTAGTACTTATTTTTTAGACTTTCCAGAGAAATCTTTATACAAGTTAATTTTAGGTCTAATTTGCATCTTTAATTTTCCTCGACGTTTTAATCCATCGTTTCTGGGTCCTCCGCGGGAAAAATGATGGATTGAAATGTCGAGCAAGATTAAAGCTGCAAATTAGATTTAAAATCGAATTACAGTCAGCCCCATAAATATTCATACCCTTTATATCTATTGAAGAAATTTGTTTAATTTAAATGACAGGCTTCATGTTTCCAAATCAATTTTTCATTATAAATATGTACATAAATGAACTTCTTAACGCCACAATGGATACTCTCTGGAATTTCAAGGTTAAATGCTGATCCATCCATCTTAAAAAACTGTATGTGACTTTCCTATCTCGACACAAAAGCAAAATAGCAGGAGATTAATTGCTGTGTTACATGCACTCCTCGGTACCATCTATCTTTTGCATAAAACATATATAATGCCTATAGAGACTTTCTACATCAAATACCAAAACAAATGTTAACAAGTTGGTTTTTAACACATTACCACGTAATAATAATTAATCGATATTTATCTGATACTTTTCTGACATTTTAATGCTTAATTAAAATGTTATCGGAAAATTAGTAAATACGAAGGAACGTTAACAAGCTTGTTATCGACGTATTACGATGTAATAATAAGCCAACGATATTTATCTGATATTTTTCACAAGTCCTTGTTACCACCTGAAAGGTGATCAATACAAATTGCATTCATTATTTACCGTTACTATTCCATTGCAAACGTCAGCCATCCTTATCAATATGAGACTGATAGATTGTTCTTCTATCGACACTCAAATTACGAAACACCCTGTACGATGTAGCTTCAACTAGACTTTCATTACAAAAACTTGAAAATCGTTTTGCTATCGACAAAGAGAATATTTGTTCCTGTTACACAAATGTTTTTTCTTTTATTTCAAACAAATTCAAATTGGAACTTTTATTCATCCGTTCCTTTTGGAACGTACAAAGTGTCAATTTTTATTACAAAAGTTTAATCTTAACAATTTCAAACCTATCGAGGGAGTCCCATAACTATTTGCATATCTGATTTAATATTTTAACACGGTTGGGTTTGGTCCTCGTTTGATTCGCGTGAAGCTTTGAAATCTGAAATCTCCAGTCGCTCGAGAGACCGCCGTTGGCAGAACGAGTAATTAAATCAAGCACGCGTATTATCTACGCCCGTACGGAACCATTTATCAAAGCCTACCGAGTTGTTTTCTATTCTTGCTCGTTCCACGTTCCGAATTATCAACTTGCCTTCGCGAAAGTTACTTGTTCAGCGGCTTCGCGGAATCAGTTCGATCTTCAAAGAGCAGTCCACCTTTAATTAACAAATTATTTGCCGCCTCGGTGGTCATTGTTTTCGCGTTGACGGTTTCCAGTTCGTCCAAGGAAAGTTACTTTCGCGGCACGAAAGTAGACTCGAAACTGTCCTCGTGGCTTTTACTCGCCTTCTAGCTTTACGGCACGTTAAAAAAAAAAAGGAGGTGGGCAAAAAGAGACCTTAGATCCTTATTTCGTATTATACGGGGCTTCTTTGGAAGAAAAGCTGCGGCGAGTAATCTTCTTTTAATGGAACTGATTCGACAAACCCGAACAAGATCCCCCTGCTTCGATTCTTAGTCTTTTTTTCAGATTTTCCTTGACTTTACGTCACGTTCATTGGAAATTATTTATAACGTGTATTTAATCGCTGCAAAGTTGATTCTGGACGTAACAAACCAATTGTTTTCACTGCTACGTAAAATGTTTTACTGTGTATTATCTGCTTTTTGTATGGACAAAAGAGGAATTTTAGTATTTAAGTGGGTCTACAACCTTTTTATAGTTTCTATTGTAAAACGTCGTAGAATAGTTTATACCATAACTGCTATGTATTATTGCCTTTAAAATATTGAAACTGTGGTATGATATTACATTTTTACATTTTGCTTCGATATATTAATATTAATTTCATTCGATTCAATTTAAAATCTTTATTTTCTCTTTATATTCCATACAAAGTCCCATAAGATTTAGAACTAGTGACCAATGTGTAATTTTTAATAAAAATTTGATCAAGTATGTAGCATAAAATCTGTTCATACGAGGCTTTGTTGTCAGAAAGTTAATTTAAAATGATGTCGAACGTATGTGAGATTGATACACGCTTTGGCTGACGTGTCTGACTATAACTGGTTAATTCTACTTGCGTTGGTCTTCGCAAAAATGGATCGAGGTATAAAACGTATTTTTCCCTTATCGATTTTACTAAATTCTAACAAATTTGATTTAGTTAAAGTAGATAATCTCACATGTGTGGAAATTGAAGGATAATAATTTCATTTTTAGTAAAAATCACTTACTTGAGATTTCTTTAGAGTGCTCAATAAGTAATATGTCTCTTAATGAGTCTTTTCCTATCGTCTTCGGTTTGAAGTTCCACAAAATTTACAAAGCCAAGCATAAGTATTCTGCAGTAAAAAGAATCTTCTTTGTGCTTCGTATTGGGTTAGATGTTACAGTCAGTCTTCGTAAAGCGAAATTACACGACGCTGTCCACATTCTTACTCGTAGTTGCACACTCTCCTTAACCTGGAGCTGTTTCTTCTTTCTCCTTCAATAGAAGTAATGACTAACGGATAGACGCATTAGCGAGATCACGCTAAAGTGCAAGCATACTTAACGAATTTCTTAAATTGGCTTTCTTATAAACAGTCTCGTACGAACAAATTTAATTTCACATTTTCAATTTGTTCTTTCATGGATTTTTATTGAAATATAAATATATTTTTTTAAATCACCGTTAGTATACAACCATAAATTACTGCAGCTTGCGAAACACTGTATATAAACAATTCTGAGAGTTCAGACATTATGTCTAGGTTTTAGCACGTTGGATACTTGATTGCAAAAGTTATAAACCAAGTTAAATCATAGTGGATTCCACAGCAATGTATCATTTCACTACGTGCTTTATTACTTTGCGAAAGCAGATACTACAATTGTGATTAGACGTATATTTGTAAATACTCGTACAATTTATCATGATTAAACAGAGTGATTAAAATGTCAATTATTTCCAGCGAACGTGTTGCGATGTTTTTCCTGAAGATAATATTTATTTGTGGATCCTTCGTCCTCTTTGTAATTGTTGTTCATTTAATTTTAGCAGTTTTCGATTATTTATTTTCTTTTTGTACCTAGTGTGCAAATATCTCAAAGTCGAGATGAAAATTCTTTCATTTTTAGAGCACATTTTTTGCGAAGTGATAATCATATTAGTTTACATCAAAGTTTTGGACCTTTCCATTGAAATGATAGCGAATAAATAAATTTAATATTTCAAAATTATCTCAGTATTAAAGAAACTTTTAAAAATTCTGTTATCTGAAATACATTTTCCTTTGTAATCTTCATGAATTATTACACGATTTACTTATAATTTTCATCTACATTTTCCGAAGAGGAGATGGTTGCTGAGGCGTTGAATAAACCTAATTATTACTTGCTGATTAGTGAACTCTAAATGGCGAAAGCTGTTTACCTCGACTTCACATCGTTCGTCAGTTTTTGTACGGCAGTTCGTCCAAGCGTCGAATGTTTGTGAGTTCGTCGTGTCGTGTCGCAGTTTCTTAAATTTTTAACGATCAATGGAGGACCCCTGCAGTCTCCGAGCAGGTTGCAAAGAACCCTATTAGCCGCCTTCCTCGAGCGTGGTGGGAACATCACGTTTTCGTCGGCAAAAAAATACGAAACGTTGGGGATTCCATCGGGGTAGGAAACAGGGACGTCTACGCTGGGATCTCGATTGTTACTTTGTGATTGGAGCACGTAGATCCTCGATCCTCGACACGGCAATTTGTCAGAGAAGACCAAACATTTTACGGACACGCTAACACCGATATTAATGGCGCTACGTGCGTTATTATATTTTTATTTCTACTCGATAAATTCGCGAACGCTTTTATTACATCGTCGATTTACTACCTTTTCAGGATATTACATAATTTTTTAACGAGATAAAAATTATCGTCGCACATGCTTTTGTCAACAGAAGAATATTATTTTATTCGATTGAATTTGAACCTTTTATTTAACAAAGAAAAATATAAGGTCAATTAAATTTTATTTCAAACAAATCCTGCTGAAATATTACTTTTATCCGTTACATGACGCCGCTATAAAATTTCAGAGCCTTATACAGAGCATAATGTAGTCGCAAAACACAATACATATGTCACTTTCTTTGTACGAGATAATCAAGTTGATGTTTCTATTCACATTTGTCTGGCATCCATAAGATTTATTTTTATTTTCAGTCGTAATAAGAAATTTCTCTCCAGGTCATATTAGCAAACTTGCGCAGAGAAGTACCACTTAAATAAATAGACTTAATCAAATCTCTTAAAAGAACTGAGATGAAAATTCTCAGGTTCTCGTACGACGCAGAGGTAAAAAAAAAACGGTCTACTTTTATTTCGAACAATATTATTTGAACTCGCAGAAAACATTTGAAATATGATTTCACTTTATAAGAATGGTACCTTCTGAATTGTGGAAATAAATTTAATAATGAATAATTTTAAAACAAACATTAGACTACTAGTATTTCTGGAAGTTGTTTGTTGAGTGACGTGTAATTTCCCTCCAATCTTTCGCGGTATTAAAAATGGCTCTTCTTCCTTTACGCTACGAAGTACGAAAGACATCGTCGTTCAACTTTTAATGGCCTTCGC